GGGGCGCATAGGGGTCTCCAGGGGTGAGCAGGGGCTTCGAGGGGCACGGGGGGGGGCTTGCAGGGGGCTCAGCGAGCCTGACCTGAGCTGAGGCCAGAGGAGAAGAGGTGGGCGGGAGGAGGCCAGGAGGAGAGGCGGGGAAGTGGTCCCCACAGGGGTGGGGGGCGGGCTGCTCCTGGAGCAGGGACCCCAGGGGTTTTATTTAGAGTTTCTCTCGGGGTGGTGGGCAAGGGGGCAGTCGAGCCAGGTCAGGCCGCCCCAGGGGGCCTGGGTGAGGGGAAGGGGAGAAACGCTGTGTCTCCAGGCAGCTCCGACAAGAGACTCCGTGGGGGCCGAGGAAGTCGGGGCAGACACCCTGCACTCAGGACCAGACGAGGGGGCCGCAGCCACCCCGCCGCCAGAACCGCACGCACCACAAGCCAGGGGGCTCAGGACAGCCACATGGAGACTGCCCTGGCTGGGACCAGAAGGTGGGCCGGGGCCAGGCCCTGGGGGGACAGGGTCTTAGATAAGCAGAGGGAGAGGCCGAGGCATGGGCGCAGACCGCAGGGGTCCCACCCCCTGGGAGGGGAGACCTCTCACCAGGACCTGCATCCCCACGAAGGGAATCTACCCCGGGCTCTAGGATGTCGCTACGTGGTCTGAGGACAGGGTGGGCCGGGGTGCCCGCTGCCCACGGACAGGAAGCCGCGGCCTGGCACAAAGCAGCGGCAGCACCTGGGGCCTCGGCCGCCACCGCACGCAGCTCGCACGGGAGGCTCTGGGCAGGAGGCTGCCACACGGAGCGGGTGGGAGGCCGGGCGAGGCCTGGACCTCGAAACCTCTCCTGGGGAGTCCCAGCCAGGCCCTCCGCTCTCTATGCGACTTCTCCACCAAAGGAGGCACGTTTTGAAGATGTGAAACGGAGACTCACCGTCCTCAACTCAACCACGTGACCGCAAGGGCTGAGGGGGAGAGTGGGAAAGCATGAGGGAGAGACGGGGACAGAGACGGACAGAGACAGAGAGAGACAGAGAGACAGAGACAGAGAGACAGAGACAGAAAGAGACAGAGACAAAGAGAGACAGAGAGACAGAGACAGAGAAACAGAGACAGAGACAGAGGCAGAAGAGACAGAGACAGAAAAGACAGAGACAGAGAGAGACAGAGGGTCAAACAGAGAGAGACAGACAGAGACAGAGAGAGACAGAGACAGAAAGAGACAGAGACAGAGACAGAGAGACAAACAGAGACAGAGACAGAAAGAGAGACAGAGAGACACAGAGACAGAGACAGACACAGAGAGACAGACACAGAGACAGAAAGAGACAGAGACAGAGAGAGACAGAGGCAGAGAGACAAACAGAGATAGAGACGGAAAGAGACAGAGACAGAGACAGAAAGACAGAGACAGACAGAGACAGAGAGACAGAGACAGAGAGACAAACAGAGACAGAAAGAGACAGAGACAGAGACAAACAGAGACAGAGAGAGACAGAGACAGAGACAGACAGATATGCAAAGACAGAGATATAAACAGAGCCAGATAAAGACACATAGAGACAGAGATACAGAGACAGATACACAGAGATGGAGAGACAGAGACAGAGAAATAGAGACAGACAGATACAGACAGAGACATATGGGCCGGGCACCATGGCTCACGCCTGTAATCCAGCGCTTTGGGAGGCCGAGGTGGCTGGATCACTTAAGCCCAGGAGTTCGAGACCAGCCTGGCCAACATGGTGAAACCCCGTTTCAACCAAAAATACAAAAATTAGCCAGGTGTGGTGGCGGACGCCTGTAGTCCCAGCTACTCAGGAGGCTGAGGCAGGAGAATCGCTTGGGCCCAGGAGGTCGAGGCTGCAGTGAGCTATGACTGCGCCACTGCACTCCAGCCTGGGCGACAGAGCAAGATCCTGTCTCAAAAAAAAAAAAAAGAGAGACACAGACCACCGAGAGACAGGCGAGGCCATGAGACACGGACCCTGGCCAGAATGCTGGGGGCACAGGTGAGTCAAAAGAAGCCAGAGAACCCCAGAGCAGTTTCTGAGCCCCGGGCCCACCGAGGGCCAAGGCTGTGGAAGGGGCCAGGCTCCTCCTCGCTCCCCAGGGGGGTCAGACGGATGGGACACTTTCACACACAGCTCTCCAAAACTTTCTGCCCCTAAAATTTCATCAGCTGGCCATCGACCTGCTCCTCCGAAATGGGGCCAACATCAGGAAAAGGAAGCTGGGGGCCTGGCGGACGGGGCCTGGCCTTCGGGGGAGGCAAGGTTGGGATTCCCTCCATACTGGGGGGGGCCCCAAAGGCCGCAAGAAAGGGAAATCGGGGTAGATCTCACTCTCTGCCAGTAGGAGGTACACAGTTAGCATGTTTCAATCGGGGAATACCAGCATCCCTATTTGCTGTTTGGGACTAATCAGGTAAACCCCAAAGCGAAGCACAGAAGCGGCCCCATTCACCACGGAGGGACCCGGGGGAAGGCACAGTGGGTGCAGAGCCGGCTGTATTCTCACCTTACACAAGCATGACTCCGAAAAAAAACAAATAAAAATCTCAATCCAATCCTGAAGGTAAGAAGGCTGTTGCCCACCGAAGCCGTAGGGCCCAGCAGTCACAGCTCAGGACGCCCCGGGCCCACGCTGACCCCATGGCGGGGCCGAAACCACACCTGTGGCTCCGTGCGCTCAGTGAGCCCAGGTCATCCTGGTCCACAGCCTGGGCCCCGGGCACACTCAGCTCTCAACCGCCACCCAAGCCCTGCTTGGGAAGACAGCGTCCGGGTCTTATGCAGTTAATAAAATAATTTCAGATCAGCTGCGTGTGGCTTGGGCACCAGGTGGAGCTGCCCACACCTTCTCCACGGGGCTGAGCCACTCGGTAGGCATGTATTGGGCTGGGCTGGGGCCCGGTTTCAGCCTCCCAGGAGACCACACACCCTGCCTTTCACACCACCAGCCCGAGGGTGCCTGTGGCCGCAGGTTGGGGGGAGCCCGGGAGCCAGGTCTGTTCAGACCTGATCGAAGTGGGGCCTGCAGAGCCGCCTAGTCTCCAAAAGCACAGAGCGTCGGGGACCCCACGTCCACCCCACTTGGGCCAGGAACCCTCTTGGCAGGTGACTTGCTCCAAGAAGAGCCCGGCCATAGTGCAGGCACAGGGGCTAAGAGGGTGGGCTGGGGTCCCGGCAGCAGGAAGGCCGGGGAGGGGGTGGCCGGGAGACCACCTAGACGGACAGGCTGGAGGCCAAGCTGCCCTTCTTCAAATTCTCTCACCTCTCACCCCAAGGGGTAGGGCTGGGGAAAGAGGCCAGGGACAACAGCAAGGCCCACGACGTGGCAGCCAGCCATGGGCACCGAGGGCAAAGCCTCCTACCCACCAGCCCCACAGCCACCAGGTCACAGGATCAGCCCCTGAACCAGGGTTGCCCAGGACAGATCTCCTAGGGACGCCTCTTCTCTCCCTTCCCCCAACAATCGGGACAAGGAGCAGGTGGGGGGTCCCTCAGGAGGAAGAAGATCCCACCACCGCTGAGCTCAGCGCCCCCCACCCTGGGCCCAGCCCTCCCCACCCCAACCCCCGCCTCGGCCGCGACCAGGTGCTGTCACGACCACAGGTGGCCAGCAGGTGGCCCCAAAGAGACGTATGCAGCCGGCTCAGCCCAGGAGCCTGGTCCAGCAACGGGACAGGCGTGCGTCCTCAGCCAGCGGGCAGGCGGGACGGCCAGGAGGGGAAAAGCCACAAGGCCCACGACTCACCAGGCCCCACCAGAGTGCGTCCGCGTAGGTGTCAAAGTGGTCGTTCTCCCCCTTCTCCGCCAAGTACACCAGGAACGAGGCCAGGATGAGGCAGAGGAAGCCGATGTACCAGGCGGTGACCAGCTCCTGCCAGGCAGAGGGCATCGCCGTCACCACCAGCCGCCCGCCTCCGGAGCACTGCAGCCTCGCCTCAGCCTGCCCTGGGCTTCGTCTCCAGGGATGTGGGGGCTGAACCCCTCTCCTGAGGCCAGCAGAGGCTCTGCACAGGGTCAGGGGAACCCGGAGCGGCGGCCGGCTTCACTCTCGTAGCTGCACCAGCCCCTGCCCGTGCCTCCGGCGGCTCGCACGGCCGGCCCGCCGTGTCCTCCAGGGTCAGCAGCGTCTATGCCGGCGGCCGGCGGGGCTGGAGAATCTCAGGACTGTGGAGACCCTCCCCCAGCCTCCCTGAGCCTCAGGGCGCAGATGTGAAAGGGTGCCCACTCCAGCCAGCACCCAACCCCACAGCATCCAGGGAGGGAGGGGCCCCCGGGGGCTGACCCCTGCCTGTTCTGCAGACAAAGCCACTCCCCGTCCAGGGCGCAGGAGGGAAGAAAATGGGGAGGGGCCGTTTGAGCAAATAAGCCCACCCATGCGTCGAGTGGACGGATAGCACAGTCTGGCAGGATGGGGTCTCGGTCACCGTGGGGGTCTCGGTCACCGGGGGGGGGTCTCGGTCACCGGGGGGGTCTCGGTCACCGGGGGGGGGTCTCGGTCACCGGGGGGGTCTCGGTCACCGGGGGGGGTCTCGGTCACCGGGGGGGTCTGGGTCACCGGGGGGGTCTCGGTCACCGGGGGGCTCCTGGCCCGCCTCCGCCGTAAGCTGCGGCTTGAGCCACCACCAGGCACGTGAGGAGCCCGGCGTATTGATCCTGGCACTAAAACCCAGGAAGAAGACGCCCAACCACAGAACCCAGGGTTCTCAGCAGGAAAAGTGGGGAGGGTGGGGGGTGCAGGGGCCGAAGTGGCCTGGCCTTTTGAAAAAACAGCTTTCTGGAGACAGACGACAAAGATGGGCCAAGCCCTGGGAAGAGGTACCAAGAAGAGCGGCAGGGGAGCGGCTTCCCCACCCGAAGGCTCGCTGGCCTGGCCGCAGACCCACCGCTGACCTTCCCTCCACCCAGGGCTCTCGGAGCACACCCCGGGCAGAGGGGGGCCCGCTGCACGCCAGGACCCTCGCCGGCTTGGACACCCACCCAGCCTGGGTGCCGCAGCTCACCTTGCTGTGGGCGTAGACCACCGAGCCCAGCAGCTTCCAGGTGCCACCCCGCCGGTCCATGCGGATCATCCGCAGAATCTGCAGGAAGCGCAGGCTCCGGAGCGCGGACGTGGCAAAGACGTTGCCCTGGGAGCCGGCGGCCAGCACCGCGATGGAGGCGATGAGCACCATGATGTCTGTGAGGCGGGCGTGGAGCTGGTGAGGGGGGCTGCCCTGTGCATCCCCTGGGGGAAGCCCCAGCCCCGGGTTCCAGGAGGCTGTGCAGAGGGCCGGGAAGGTGTGTGCCAAGCGCCCGGCGTGGGCTCTGTCCGGCCTCAGGAAGGCCATTACGACCGTCCAACCTGCCTGCGGGGCCCAGGACAGGCAACCTGGCGCCACGTCCCTCTTCCTGAGACTCAGGCGCAGTTAACCACAGGCTCCGACTCCAAGTCAGCAGGCGAGAGGAAACTTCCAGAAGGAGCCCACGCAGACGCCCCAGCTCCCCCCAGGGCTGAGTCCGTGCCTGGGTCCCCGGCCCCGACACCCGCACCAGGCCTCACCAATCACGCAGAATGGCTTCCGGGCGAACTTGAGCCTCCCCCTCCAGCCGCGGTAACGGCAGCAGCAGCCCGCGGCCCAGATCCGCACGAAGTACTCCACGCCGAACACCACAATGGTCACGATTTCCTGCAGGGGAGGCGAGCTGAGGCCACGCGAGGCCTGGAGGAGGGCCTGGGGGCCCCGCCTGGGCACCCACAGGGGCCGTTCTGGCCCAGAGACCATGGGAAACTGCAAGCTTGGCCCGATGCCTCTCTAGCCTCTAGGCAGGACGGGTTGGGCCCTCTGGGGTCCCTGAATCCAGGAACACCACGGGGTCACCCTCCCCCCATCCCTGTCTGAGCTGGGGGCTCTATCTGAGCTGTGGGAGGCCTGTCTGTCTGAGCTGGGGGACCCTGTCTGAGCTGGGGGTGTACAGCAGGGCCATGAAGGACCCAGGTAACTACAAGGGGGGCATAGCCTCCACCCAGACCTTGGGCAGTCCCAGGACAGAGGGATAGCGCGGGCAGTAGAGGGAGGTGCCTTCGGGTGGGGACCAGTCTCTCTGAGAGCCCCCCCACCCCGTTACCAACAGCAACACAGGAATTGTACTCCCTCCCGTTGCCATGGCACCCACCCTGCCCTGGCACAGTGTTGCTGCCAGCGTCACCACCCCCACCCCAACACCCACGCCTGCCGTCTGCTGGGGACGCCCCACGGCTTTGGCTCCGGAGATAATGGGAGGGTAGGAAAAGGGGGGTGGGCCCACGCGGGGTGGGGGGATGGAGGCGGGGCTGTCAGCTGCTGTGACGTCACCAGGAGGGGTGAGGCGCAGCCTGAGTTACTCACAGCGAGGGTGGGGCTGTGGGGCTGGGGGCCGGTGGGGCTGACAGAGCACCACGTCACAGCCGGCGCTGGGGCTGCGGGAGCTGGTTCGGGGCTAGAGGGCGCAGGGCAGGGGAGAGGGGTTGTGCGGTGGGGGTCGGGGAGGCCTTTACGGGAGGCCAGGGTTGGGGGCATCAGAGGCTCTGTAGTAACAGGAACGGGGGACAGACACCCAGGCAGCGCCAGCTCCTTCCCGGCCCCTCCAGCCCCACCGCCCCCGCGCGGGGCTCACCAGGATGTAGAGGGCCCCCTCCGAACTCTTCTCATACTCCTTGATGGTGGAAAACACAGACAGCACGAGGCAGGAGAAGACCAGGAGGAACCTGGGGGCACGGAGCGCGCGCTCAGTCGGGCCTCGGGGGCACCAGTGTGGCTGCGTCTCCAGAACGCAGGACCCCACTCCCCACCCACCCCACCAGAGCCCAAACCGGCCAGAGGGCACCCCTCAGCCGCCTCCTGGGGCCCCAGAACTCCACGGTGGCACGGTGCGCAGCTGCCCACCCACCCCAGGATGCGCCCCCCACCCCCATGCCGGCCCCACCCCGTGTCTGGGTCCAGCCTGGCAGCTTCAGCCTTCGGGAAAGTCTCCAAAACTCTCTGAGCCAAATGGGAACAGCCAGCCCTGCCCATCAACTGCTGCAGAAGCAGAAAAAGCAACACCCCCGGGGCAGAAGGCTCCGGACCAACCCTCCCCTCTCCTCACACTCGCCAACTATCTCCTCTCCAGACCCAGACGCAGAGAGCTCCCCCCTGCCAATCAAATCCAGAGCCAAGCAACAAGAGCTCCTCGGGTCGTCTTCTTTCCGGCCTCTCCCTGGCTGCCAGGAGGCTCAGTTTCTCCTGGTCACAGGCACCTTCTCCTGCCAGTGATCCCCACGGTGACTGCTCTTCCCATCCTCTTCCCACGGGACCACCTGACGCTCACTAGCCCTTTCCAACCTCCCCTCAGATGATCAAGTTCACAGCCACACCTAAATTCTCCCAAATATATGAAGTTGTTTTTTTCAGACCGAGTTTCGCTCTGTCACCAGGCTGGAGTGCCACGGCACAATCTCAGCTCACCGCAACCTCCACCTCCCGGGTTCAGGCGATTCTCCTGCCTCAGTCTCCTGAGTAGCTGGGACTACAGGCTCGCACCGCCACACCCAGCTAATTCTTGTATTTTTTAATGGAGACAGGGTTTCACCATATTGGCCAGGCTAGTCTCGAACTTCTGGACTCAGGTGATCCTCCTGCCTCGGCCCAGCAAAGCGCTGGGATTACAGGTGTGAGCCACCGCGCCCAGCCCAAATGCGTGACTTTTTCTCGGCCCTGCATCCTCCTCTGATACAAGCGGCTCTGATTCACTTGCTCCCTTGCCCACCCAGAAAGCTGCAGACGGGAGGTGCCTGCCCGGCTGTGGCTGCAGCAAGGCCACCCACATAGAAGAGTCAGAAAATCTCCCAGCTCTTCCTGGGAGCAAAGCTGAGCGTCCCGGAGCCTCAAGCTGCCGCTTTGGCAGGAAAGCAACCCCCGCCGCTGAAGTCACGGAAAGCACATGAGAGAGAAACCCACTTCTCAGGAAGCAAATGCTTCATCCCCTTTCCATTTCTCACACATGTCCTGGGACGTGCAGGGGGCGTGTCCAACGTCCGGGTCCTCGGTCACAGCCATAATGGAGGCCACTCGTGGAATAAGCCCTCGTTCCCGGCAATGGGCGAGAAGCATCGCCTTTCCCCTGACAACGGTGCTGCCTCTCGTTCCAACCATGCTCAGACCAGGAGCCACAGAGCAGCCACCGCCCCGTGTCCACGCCCCTTGCTGTCTCCACACTCACCATCACCTCCCACACCTGGTGGCACGGTCACCACGGAACCTGAGGGCACTGCTGTGTCTCCAGCCCGGCCCCGCCCCGAAGACTCAAACCCGAGCCCTTCCTCCGCCCCACGTCCAGGGTTCTGCTGGGGGAGGGAGATTCCCCACACACAGAATCCCTTCCCTCCCATTCCCGAAGCTGCGCCACAGCCCTGCCTGGGTTCCAGGGCACTGCCCCACTCCCCTCTCCCCACTCCCACAGAGGAAATACTCCCTGGATGCCCTGCAGGGCCAGGGGGCTGGCCACCGGTACCCCAGGGGCTCTCTTCAGCCTAGGCACACCCCTCAGCGCTGGAGCTTCGAGCACCACAGCTCCCGTCCAGACCCACCCTCCCATCACAGCTTCGCCATTCCCTTTCCAGTCTGGGGGCACGGGGGTGCTCATGGGATTGAGGCCTGGCCGACCACTGCCATCGAGTGGTGGCCCCAGAACCTCTGCTGCAACTACCAGGAAAACGGCACCCCCTTCCCACCGAGGCCGCCAACTAGGAGGAAGCAGGCCTGGGGCACTGGCAGGAGGACGGGTGGGCACAGGAAAACCTGCCTGAAAATGAGGTCACCACGAGGAAGCCAGCACTGAGGGACTGGGGAAGAATCATAAAGACATGTAATGTGAGCACCTAGATCCAGCAGTGCCTGAAACCCCTTAGACTTCAACATTACATAAGCCCATTACTTAGGAAACTTTGGATTTGTTCTCTGCCGCTTGCAAATAAAAGATCCCAGAGCTTTCAGGCTATGAGCAGCTGTTGGGCGTGAGTGTGTCCCTGCTCTGAGCCCACGCCTGACTCCACCATGCTGTGGCCACGTGCTACTCCAATCCATGTGGCTGTGACAGAATCTGCCACGGATCAAAAGGGAAAAAACAAAACAAGTCCTCAGTGTGAGGCGCTATTTAGGGAGCAGAGGTCAGCGTCGGCCGAAGTGCCTGGTGGGAAGAGCACCCCACACCACTCAGGGCGTCACTCTCTCAGGAGAGCCCCTGGAGAGCACCGCAGGGAGAGGACTCACCGAAGGCTGAGCGCTGCGGCCAGGAGAGGCGGGAAGCCCCAGCATCTCAGCCTGCAGGGAGAGTTCTCGGACTTTGGCCACAGAGGCAGAAGGACGGGACCAGGCCACCCAGGCACAAACCTGGGGTCCCAATCACCCTAGGCTCAGGCTCCGAGTCCCCTAACTGGGATCGGCTCACTGGGCGGTGGCAGCAATTCCAGCAGATAACTGACCCCACATCTGACATGCCACGCTCAGAGTGGGCCCCATCCTGCACCGTCGGTGCCACGCACCAGCACCCACGCCAGTGCACAGCCCTGCATCACCCCCACCCTGGGACCCCTCACCCATCGCACTCCAGGAGCCTGCTGCCCTCTGCCCCTACAGGCCCTGCACCACCCCCACCCCGACTCACCACCTCTCCCTAACCCAAGCCCCCAGGTGCCCCAAACCCTCCTCCTGCTGCTCCAGAGGGACCTAGATGAAGCCTGCTGCTCTTTCAGAGATCAGGGGCACAGCGCCCACACCAGGCATGGTCCCCACGCAGAGGGTCAGGGCCGGACCTCCCTCCCCAAGTGGCTTCAGCCTTCCAGGAATAAGGCAGCGCTGATGCCCGCCCCTCTGCCCCCCAGAGCTGCCCCAAGTATGGGAGGCCATTGATGCCCGAGGCAAGGACCAAGACTCCCTAAGGCATCACTGGGCACCGCAGTCACGCCTGGGGGCAGAGCCTGAGGAGACTGCTGGGAGGGTGGGGGGAGCCAGGAGGTCACACAGGGTCAAGGTGGGGTCAAGGTTGAACAAGAGTGGCAGCATCCGGGCGACAGCTGGCAGGGCCGCGTCTGTGGAGCCGGGGCTGCGGAGCTCAGAAGCAGGGGAGGGCAGGCCTGTGCAGAGTCCTTGGCGTAACTAACTGCATCCTAGTAAAAGACTCCATTTGTCTTTCACAGAGCACTCTACGAAGGAGGAAAAGATGTTTTGTTTAAGAACAACAACAACAAAAATCTGGCCTGGCGTGGTGGCTCACGCCTGTAATCCCAGCACTTCGGGAGGCCCAGGCAGGTGGCTCACCTGAGGTCAGCAGTTTGAGGTAACCTGGCCAACGTGGAGAAACCCTGTCTCTACTAAAAATACAAAAACTAGCCAGGTGTGGTGGCACACGCCTGTAATCCCAGCTGCTCAGGAGGCTGAGGCAGAACTGCTTGAACCCGGAAGGCGGAGGTTGTAGTGAGCCAAGATTGTGCCACTGCACTCCAGCCTGGGTGACAGAGTGAGACCCTGTCTCAAAGAAAAAAGTAAATTGAAATAAACTGACTCAAGAAGAAACAGAAAATCTAAACAGCCCTATAACAAAGAACCAGCAGTCAAAAAACTTCCAACAAAAAAAAGTCCAACAACTTTCACTACAGCTATTGTACTTTTTAGCTTCCAAAGAAAAAAGTCAATTTCAATAAAGACATTGAATCGGCCAGGTATGGTGGCTCACACCTGTAATCCCAGCACTCTGGGAGGCTGAGACGGGTGGATCACCTGAGGTCAGGAGTTCGAGACCAGCCTGACCAACATGATGAAGCCTCGTCTCTAATAAAAATACAAAAATGAGCTGGACGTGGTGGTGCACGCCTGTAATCCCAGCTACTCGGGAGGCTGAGGCAGGAGAATCGCTTGAACCAAGAGGCAGATGCTGCAGTGAGCCGAGATCAGGCCACTGCACTCCAGCCTGGGCAAGACAGCAAGATTCTGTCTCAAAAAAAGAAACAAAAAAATAAAGACCAAGTCCAACCAGAAAAGGACACTCACAGCACCCCCTCCGGCTCCGCTATCCCTGGAGGCCTGTCTTCACCGCGGCCGCAGCAGCCCAGGCCAGGCCTCCAGGCAGCTTCTGACCCTCTGTGCTGTGTCTTCTTCCTCGTTAAACCTGACTTTGTGGTGGAACGTGTGCCCTGGTGGGATACAGTTCGCAGCACTGACCCACGTGATGTGGCGTGGCCGTGACCGCAGTGTGGCCATGACTCCACATAGCTCGTGGCTTGACTGAAACGGCATCAATAAAAGCCTGACCTTGTGGACAGACAGAAACCACGTGGACCTCACGTCGGGCCTATCCTGTGTACAAAGCACCTCCAGCATGTGGGGCCTCAGGAGAGCTCCCCCCGGCCAAGAACAAGAGGGCGTCCGTGCTGCTCCAGGCTCGATTCACCCACAGGCACCCCCATCGCTTCTCTCTGCCCAGACCCAGTCCCAGTCATCTCCCCCACAAACACCGCCCAGATGTGGGGAGGCGGCATGACCCCCTGCAGCCCCCCTCCAGCCCGCTGGGGCCCCCCCAAGTCCCTGAGTCCTCCAGCCTTGGCAGACGCCGTCCCCACAGCTCTGCCTTCCAGCTCCCCAGCAGTGGCCTCTGCTGCGCGGCTCTGGAGGGGAAGACGGGGGACAAGGTGGTCCTCCTGAGACCTGCCCGGGAAGGACACGGCCGTGTTTC